CATATCGAGTGATTGAGCATGATGAGTGGAAAGTGTGAGGCAATGAGATTGAGTACTCGGAGATATATATATATATATATATATATATATATGTATGTATATATATATGTATTGAGATGGATCTTCCTTGGGCTGGATTAGCCATATACAGTACTGAGTGACTGAGCATATCGAGTGATTGAGCATGATGAGTGGAAAGTGTGAGGCAATGAGATTGAGTACTCGGAGAGTGTGAGTACAACACTGAGATACATTGCATTTGACATGCGCACTTGAGTGTATGCATAAAGATGCATTTCTTTCTGCTACCTGGTTTTGGTGACATTCATGATTTCACCTGCACAGTGACATGTAGGCATAGAGATGTACTTTCCTCGTGCTATCTGGAAAATAAAAATAAAACGTCTTAATTATTATTGAAAAGTTTTGGAAAAAATCACAATTTTACAAACCTACTCATATTTTGGTAATTTCGGTAAAAGAATTTGGATTTTCACTGATATACTTGAAAAGCATGCCTATTTTTCTGGAATTGCGTACGAGTTGAGCATCTTATATCTAAGTATGTTTTCTTGTACCATTATTATTATGTTGTTATGAACTGTTGTTGGTTATTGGTGTTGGACTCCGACCTCTGTTCCAGCTCGTCACTACTTTCAACCTAAGGTTAGGTTTGTTACTTATTGAGTACATGAGGTCCGTTGTACTCATACTACACTTCTTCACCTTGTGTGCAGATGTTGGATGCTGATGTTACTGTGTTCGACGGGAGTTGGATTTGAAGATGTACCCGTGTTCCGGTTATAACTGCCTCTTGTTCATGGTAGTTCTAGACTTATGAAAGATCTGTTCATGTATATTTCAAATAGATGATGTACTTTATTTCATACCCGCTTTGTAAATTCTAAATCTTAGACGCTCATGATTTGTACTACCACTCCTTGGGGAATGCATAAGATGTATATATTTTCTTTTACTTAATTGTCTTATTAATTTTTTATTGGAATTGAATAGTTATTAATTGGCTTAACTAGCTGGTTGAGTTAGGTGCTTTCACGACTAGTTGTATTTTAGGCCGTGACAGTTACTATTCAATATTTTAGTTTATGCAAGAACTTACTTTTTTGGTTATTTTTAATTCTTAAAATTTAGAAAATATCATTTCATAAATTAGCGAGGTCTTTCTGCGCGAATTAGTTTACTAGCTCTTTCATATAATTAAGTATTGTGTGTGTATGACTTTTCTTTAAATTTTCACATGCGACTATCAGGTACTAAAACCTTTCGAAGCAACAAGTCAACTTCTTACTAAGGAATAGTGTGTTTGGCAAAGTTTTTTTTTTGGGTGAACAATAAAGCAGTTTTCACTAAGAGTATATCACTGTTAAAAAAAGTATACTTAGAAATATTTTTTAAAAATTTGATCAAATATTAATTGTTATTCTAAAATTTAATTAGTCAAACTTTACTAAAAATATTTTTGGAAAAAAAAAGTTTTATATTTTAGAAGGTTAAACAAAGAGGCTATAAGAAGCTCCATTAATTAATAACATATCAAGTAAGCAACGAAATGAAGAAGAATCTCCAGTCAGCCATTAATGTTGTGGTTTTATCACTTGTACTTATCTCCACGGAATCATCTCCGACTGTCTGCATTATCGGCAGCGGAATCGGCGGCTCCTCCGTGGCGCACTTCCTGCGGAGCTATTCAAACTCCGAAATCGGCACAATCAGAATCTTCGAGCGGCACGATGCTGTCGGAGGGCGCATGGCAACGGTGACTATTTCCGGCGAGACATTCGAGGCCGGTGCCTCCATTCTTCACCCCAAGAACTACCACGCTTTGAATTACACTAAATATCTAAATCTCTCTGTCCGACCTTCTGAATCTGATTCCTCATTTGGCATTTGGGATGGACGCGAGTTCGTTTTCAAAACCTTCACATCCCAATCGAAGCTCCCTATATTCCAAAGCCTTGTGTCCTTCGCCAATTCCATCTTGTTTTTCTTTCGCTATGGCTTCTCTCTGTTTCGCATGAGGACCTTCGTTGAGGTATTCCAACTTCACTAGCAATTGTGGAACATGCCAACAGCTCCTTTTTTCCTTTTCTTATTAACTAAAAATTTGTGGAAATTTAATGAAAAACAAGATTTTTTAGTTAATGCTATAGTGAAAAACTGAGGCAGTGGGCAAAAGATTAGGAGAATATAGTTAGTATAGCTCTATTTTTCTGTAAGTTAGTAGTGGGATCTAAGGAGCAACTTGCGGTGTAGGTATTTAAGAGCAAACAAGGTAGTTAATTAAAGGGACCGAGGCTTTGTTAGTTGGTACAGATTTCTATGCATATCATATTTATATTTGATTGTGAATGTTGTGCTTTTGGCATTTAGGACCATGTTTTTGTGCCTTTGGTTTGTCCTGGTAACAATGTACACAGTTTGTTTTCGTTCTATAGATTTCCTTATCATAATGCCGTGCTATATTATACACTTAGTGGCGGAGCCACATTCTTGAGAAGGGCGGTGTCGAATATGGAGTTAAGGAAAATTTTACTAAAATTTTTAGGGTAGTGTTGATAGTTATAGAAAAACTAGGGCGTAGCTGGCCGTTGCCCTCTACCTCCCGGCTCCACCACTATTACGTTCATAGATTGGACATAGTGCTTTGAAAAGAATGTATATATATATATATATATATATATATATATATATATATATATATATATATATATATATATATATATATATATATATAAAATTTTTGGTTGTACTGTTGTGATGGCCTTGTTCATGTATAATGTTGTTTGTGAACATTGTAGACACACTATAAGCTATGAGGGAATCACAGTGCTTACGATGTTGCTTCCTTCATTATGGTTCATTCCACCTATTATCATAGCGTTTACAATTTCAACTTTTTTCTTGATGGAGTCCTTCCACTCGATCTTTGACTGCATGAGCATGGTATACAGTTTAAGAAGATTCTTGGTCAAGTTCCAGCTAATTGTCAAGACATTTGCATTCTGCAGAAAGTCCTTGAGCTTCTTGTGATGTTGTGACATGGAAATTTGTTTGTAGGGCACCGTGGATAGTTTCTTGAAGTATTATAAAAGTTTTGAGTCGCGGCCAGTATTTGAGACTGTGGAAGAGATGCTTAAATGGTCCGGGCTTTACAATATGACGAAGCGAACATTGCAGGAGGAGTTACTAGATGCTGGTTTGTCTCCTCGACTCATTCAAGAACTTGTCACGGTAAGAAGAAACCTCTGTTCTACGTTCTCCATGTATGATTCCTTTCATTTTAACATGTATCCTGTTGCTACTCCTTTTTTGCTGTGCTTGAAATTGGCAGAGGTCATACCACTCAGTATGTTAGTGCTTGATGGTAACTCTTGCCTATTCTGCAGTTTATTGTCATCCTTTATTTTACAAGTGGCTTCATAAAACAAGATGAGATTAGCCTTTTAGAATATAACCAAGTTTGGTCTTGTTATCTGCATACTCTTTACACTGTCAGATGGGTAAGGGTAAAGATGACATATCATTTTTGTTGTTTTTTGAGGTAAAGTTAACAATCATGTTGGCTATCGATACAACAATTGGACTTATGAGAAAGTGTCTGATGTCCTTAATACAGTAGATGCTAAAGTTTGTACAAGACAATGAGTTATTTTGATAAGTCAACATAATTTATTAATATGACGCCAGACTGCTGATTTTACTGTACGTGCTCACTTCAAATCTCCAAAAAGATTCAAGTAGTACAGTATGGACTGTATATTCTATTCTAAATTACAAATGAAACACAAGAAGTCTTTTGACCTCTAGAATGTACTTTGAGCCCTTGACGATTTCTCTTAAAAATCAACCATATGATGGACATTCCACAACTCCTTCCTAGCATCCATCTTCCTTAGTTTAGATAACCTCCATGCAATATCAAACATAGAATAAACTAGGGCCGATATATCTAAGGTAAAGTGACATCCTCATTATTTGCGATTAACTTACTATTTTTAGTCTCATCCTTTTCAAGTTACTCATTGTTACTATAGTTTCCAAGCTGCACAACAGATGAAAACTATTGCTTAGCTGTCTCTATCTTCCATAAGGATCTCCATAGACCTAAACGCTACCGTTGATAATTCAATCGTGATATGACTTTACTGAGAAGCTCTTCGTGGATGATCTTCTCCATTATACTTTCTCTCCATTACCAAAATTTATTATAGATTTATGTCCTCTGCAAGGAAGCATCAATTGTCTTGACATCCATCTTGTCTATGGTCTCCTTGTCCTTTGTTATCCAAAATATGCAAGAAAATTTCTTTACCAGAATTTCCCACCCAAACATTCAACCAGTACTAGATCCTGTTACCATTACCAGTTGTGTTCTTGATCAACAGTTTTCCCTCAGTCCTCTGCTACTTTGCCTATGGTGTTTTCAATGTAATTGTGAGGCTAAACCATGTGGCTTCATGACTATATGATTATAACAAGTGTGTCACGGTTGTTGAACAAGAAGCCATGAACAATAAGGCTTTGCTCCCAGTTCTAGCCTTTAGTTACTTAAATGTTTTTGGCGCCATAGGCTCTCTTTATTACAAGTGAAAAGATTTACTAGCCTCTGATTGTGAAAAGCTTTTATTATGATTGTTACTCCCTTCTTCCATTTTATGTGACACTCTTTTCTTTTAAGTTTGTTCCAAAAATATTTACACCTCTCTATATTTTGAAATTGCTTAATATTCCCACTTTACGCTTAGTAACACTCTGTTGTAGGTATGGCATGACATGTTTGAAACCACAAGATCCTAAGATTATTTTTAGTATGTTACACACCCATACACTCACACATTATAGAGCTTATGTGTAAAGAGTTAATTCATTTTTAAACTCCGTTTCCAGTCAAACACCCTATATCATATATATTATCATGGGCTGCTTTCCATCATCGACCCATGACCCCTTGGACGCGCCCCGTGGCGTCCCGATAAGCCTCCCAACGCCTAGCGCCACGGTCGGCCCCGTGGTCTCGGCAGCGCCAAGTGACAAGCGCGCATGCGCCTCTGTCGCTTCACCGATAATCAGTGCCAGCGCCCAGCGGCTGGCGAATGCTATCAGTGCCGCGCGCACAAACCATCGTGTTGCCAACAGCGCCACACGCACAGACAGTGCCCCGCGCGCAGATCTAATGCCAAGTACCAGCGCCCAGCCGCTAGCAGATCCAAATAGTGCCGCGCGCGCCCACAGCAATGCGCGCGCAGACCCTGATGCTCAAGACAAAGTTGCTGCCATCGGACTTGCTTCCACCTTGTAGAAGACTAAGTCCTTTTCATTGTAATTATAGAGTAGTTTTACTTCATTCATTTTCAGTGTGCTTCTACAGCTTTCTTAGGTCAACTCACGTAACTTTGGTTTATTTTTTTTAAGCATTATTAAGGGGGACCAAAGCATTCAAACATTCAAGCATTCAAACAATTCTCTGTACTGGTGTCTTCCCCCCGACACCGCATAGCATCTTGTAATGGCTTTCATTATCATCAATACAATCATCAGCTTTCATCATCAATTGCTCATTTTCCGTTGCTCAATTGCTCACGACATTGGTTTTCCCGTACGGCACTGACAATCTAGTCTAGCGTACGGAG